GCTCGCGGTCGCTGCGTCGCTGATTCCTCCCCTTCCAGCACCCCTGCTGCGGTTTCGGTGGGGATTCCGTCCTAGCTTTTCAGCTCGCGCTCCCCTCGGCTGTATCTCCTCCCTGGATGTCTCCTCTCCAGAAGGAGGAAGAGGTCCTGCCCTGCCCTCTTGCCCTCGGGTCTTCTTTCTCTCCCCTTATTCTTAATACCGAATTTTGTTCGTGGGGCTTGTGCCTCCTACGCTGTGTGGCTGGTTCTATGACCCAGACAGAGGTGATTCCTAATGACTTCGTGTGAGGGGGAAAGAAGTGGAAAGGGATTTTTTTTTGACAGTTGCCAGATCCGGAAGATTTTTGTTGAATCCATTGTCCCCCTATGCAAAATCCACTTCTCTAGTTTTGGTCCTATGTACCTTTGACCTTCCGTCCTGAGTGGGGAGAGAGAAAAGGGGTCGAATGTGAAGGTTTCCTGAACCCCCAACATCTCTTCATCATTCTCTTCTCTTCCAGCCCCGCCCCCAAGGAGTGAGTAGAGGGAGGAAGCCAGGCTGCTCCATCTTACCGACCAGCTAATGTGTGCATTTGGGGTTGGGGTGGTTGCAGTCTTTTTTTCTAGCACGGTTTTTCTTGGCATTAAGTAGAAGCACCCCAGGACAGGAGCCCTGGGGTAAAAAATGGTACTGTCCTCTTTCTATAGAATGAAAGGGTGACCAATATAAAGAACTGTATCTGTCATCCCTCAGCCTCTGTAGTGGTCCTGGGTCAAGTTTATGTTTAACTTTGTAGTTTTATCTGGAGTTTTCTTGTAGTTGGATTGTTTTCTTGAATTTCACAATGGCTTTGTTCATTTGGGTGGTAATGTATGAAACGCTAATTAAATGTCTTTTAACAAATGAAATAGGTGCTCTGCATAATTTTTCTAGTATTTTTTATTTTAAGCTTTTGAAATGTTTAATTTTGGATGTGGTTGTTAGCTCTAATTCATTGAAATTGCCATTTCTGGCCCCAGGAGAGCAAAGCTTCTGCATCCATTTCCTTTTTTTTTTTTTTTTTAAATTTAACAGCTCTAATGACACACAGGTACCAGTATAATTTTTCTCCTCCCTGCCATTAGTTGCTTCTGTGCAGGGTTGTCTACTTCAGTTATCTTGCTCTGTTTTTTGAAAGTTGTGTTTTTTTGTTTTGCTTTGCTTTTTGCACAAGCCGCAGGATAGTTTCCCTGATTTATGCTAACCCAGAGTGATGAGTGATTGAAATGTGCTCCTGCAAAAGAGGTAACTCTCTTTTCCCTTCTTTTACTTTAAAGCAATCTTGATTCATTTAACAAATCAGGTTCGAGAAATATTCTTTCCTTCAGGCCAAATAATCCTATCCTAGTTCCTAGAATGCTCGTCAATCAATAAAGAAGGAAGTATTATATTAAGAGAAGAATTAAAATATGGAATTTTTAAATGCTGGATTTGGTTGTCCTTGGTTGTCAAGGAGTTTCCTAGCTTAGGAAGGAGAGCTACCTTAGCTTCCTTCTGCCTAGGATTTCTTACACTACTTCATGCTGTGTAGGAATTCCATCCACTTTTCTGACTCCAGTCTGTCTCAGTTGAGTCACGAAGGGCTGATAGCATAGAGCACAGGCAGCAGGCTGCAAAGAGGAAGGAGCCTCAAGAAGCAGGATATTGCCTTGAGTATGACACATACACATGACAGTTGACTGTGAGGCTCTGAATCATGGTTCATGCTTTCTGTGCCCCACCGTCATGGAGTTGATTTCCCTCTCTCACTGTTTTCACACCTACAGTGTACAAGTGATTGCACAGAACAGCCAGATTACAGAAACCGAGGCAGACCGAGGTAGGGCTAGGAGAGCTGCAAGCACTGGGGTGAGGCAGCATGCTTAAACTCTTGGAACTGTTGTTGCAGCGTCAGTACAATCTTAGAAGTGACCTTAGAAGTACATTATTATTGTTTTACTTTATAAATACATCTGGGATAGCTAGTGTTGACTCAATTTTCTCTCACTGCAAGGGAAATTTGGAGGATGCTAAAATTAATTGAATAGTTCTTACTTGAAGTAGTTTATAGTATAATCTCGACAGAAGGGGTCCAAGAAAAGGGAGAGGATAGCATCAGAGGGAGATAAGAGAGAGGAAAAATTAGTTGTAATTGACTTTTGGGTTTGTGAAGGTTGTAGGTTGTTTTCCCTCGTACTAGTAACCAATATTTACATTATACTGCTGGGATTTCTGAATTATCTACCTCTTACTATGCTGTTTCTGTAATGTTCACTGCTTGATCAGCCTGCCAGCCCTTTTAGGACTGGCAGAAGGCAACCATAGGAAATCAAAGGGGGTCATGTTGTCTTGGCCCCAGGAAAGTGCCTTTGCCTATTTCTGTGTATATGGAGTTGGCTGATACAAAGTCTTCTGTGGAAATTATATTTTTGTCTGGCCCTTTTGCATTTATCCTTTTATCTTATATTGTTCATTCTGTATTAGATTAAGAACTAAAACCAGAGATATGAGTGAGTAATATTATATTTGATTTTTTTTTTAAGAGACGGGTTCTCACTTTATTGCCCAGGCTGGAATGCAGCTGCAGTCACATCTTACTGTAGCCTCGACCTCACAGGCTAAAGAGATCCTCCCATCTCAAACTCTTGAGTAGCTAGGATTACAGGTGCACACCACAACACCAGTCTAACTTTTGTATTTTTTGTAGAGATGGGATTTTGCCATATTGCACAGGCTGGTCTTGAACTCCTGGTCTCAAGTGATCTGCCCACTTTAGCCTCCCAAAGTGCTGGGATCACAAACATGAGCTACCACACCCAGCCCTGATTTTTTTTTTTAAACTCGATGAAGCTGGAGAAAAACATCTCCATTCTTGTAAATTTGCCTGTTGTAATTTATCTTGTTTTAGCTACCAGGTTCATTAAAGTTTTTCTCGTTGTGCTAAGGACTTTTTAATTTTTAAAAATAGTCATGTTATGTGATAATGTGCTGTCTTTCCTAAATGATATCATACTTACCTGTATGCATTAGACCATATTCTTACTTGTCTGGCAATAGAGTTTTTCTTTCCTACGTATGATTGCTTCTGATCAGAGCTAAATGCTTTTTCAAAACTGACTAGAATTAGGAATGAGGCTGGGGGAAAATGGTTGAACACAGTAAAGCAAACTTACCATAAAATACCTGAACAGAATCTGTCTATTGGAGCAGGTCTGTGTGGTGTGCCCTATAGATTAGCCATCCATATCACCACATTAAATTTTTATTTAATTTCTTTTTTTTTTTTTTTGTAGAGACACAGTTTCACTGTGTTACTAGGTTGCTCTCAAACTCCTGGCCTCAAGCAGTCCTGCCTCAGCCTCCCAAAGTGCTGGGATTGCAGGCATGAGCCAGTGTACCTGGTCAGTACTATGTATGTTGAAAAACAGGACATCCCTTGGAAAGCCAATATGTCATTAAACGAATGAGAACCACTTAACCACATTTATAAAACAGTCATATACTGGGGATACAAGTAGTACAAACTCTTTAACATACAAATATTGAAGGGATCCTGAAAGAAAGAATTCAATGATATTAATCAAGAAAGGCTTTTTGGCTGCGTCTGATGGCCCACACCTGTAATCCCAGCACTTTGGGAGGCCAAGGCAAGTGGATCACCTGAGGTCAGGAGTTCAAGACCAGCCTGGCCAACATGGTGAAACCTCATCTGTACTAAAAAGGTAAAAATTAGCTGGGTGTGGTGGTGCACGCCTGTAGTCCCAGCTACTCAGGAGGCTGAGGTGAGAGAATTGCTTGAACCCGGGAGGCGGAGATTTCAGTGAGCCAAGATTGTGCCGCTGTACTTCAGCCTGGGAGACAGAGTGAGACTCCATCTCAGAAAAAAAGAAAGGCTTTTTGAAGAAAGAAGCGGTAGAGATTTCTTTCAGTACCATATCAAGAGCTGAGGATATAGCTGAAATCGACAGTCACGGTCCCTGCCCTTGTGCAGTTAACATGCTAGTAGGGCAGGGGTGAAATATAAACAAGTAAATACACAAAATAATTATGTATTTATAATTACTATGAAAGAAATAGTGAGATTTGTTAGTAACTAAAGAGGTGACCTACCTACTTTAAGTTGTATGGTCAGGGAAGGTATCTGTGAGGAAATGACATTTGAACAGAGACCTGGAAGATAAGAGGGACCTAACCATTAGAAATGTTAGGGGAAGAACATTTCAGGCAGAGGGGACAGCCGGTGCAAAGGGATTGGAATGGGAGAGGAATTTTGAGCAAGGAAGTGAGTGTGGATGGTGTTGAATCTGAATGAATAAAGGGAGAGTGGTTTGTATATGGAAGGAGAGGCAAGGACCAGTTGGTTCAGAGCTGTATAGAGAAGGGTAAAAAGTTTGGATTTTTTCTGAAGAACAATGGGATACCATTGAAGGGTTTTGAGTAAAGTACTGTGTTATCTGACTTATGTTTTAAAAAGCTTACTCTGGTTTCCATGCTAAGAATGGACTAGAGAAGGGTAAAAGAAGAGGCAGAATGCAAGTTAAGAGGCTGTTGCAGTAGAGATAAGAAATTACAGTGGTTTGGATTAGATTGGAGGTAGTAAAGATGGGGAGAAGCAGATCAATTCCAGGTATGTTTCAGATTACAATAGCACTTTTGATGGGAGGTCAGGAAATGAAAAAATCAAGAATGGATGTATGGTGGTGCCACTTACCAAGGTTGTTGGAAAGGAATTAACCCAACATGTTAAAACTGAACAAGACTTTGGAGCTCAAACGTCTTTTATTACTGATCAAGAGAGTAAGGGTTAGAGAAAAGTAATGCTCATAGAGATTAGTGATTCACCCAAGGTAATATGTGACAAGTGGTAATTTGCTGAAAGCAGAAAGCTTTCATGGAGTAATAATTTAAAAGATGAGATTGGGAGGGAGGATGAGTGGTAGTGGAAGGTCTTGAATGCTAAATCGAGGATTTTTCTTTAATACAACTAGCAAGAGAACCACTGTAGGGGAAGAGGACCATGAAAGTAATGTTAGGAGATTGCTTGGGCTTAGCAGTAACAGTAAATGAAGAAGAAAATAAGAGGAGGCAGAATTTCACTCACTGAGATAGGGAATAAAGGAGAATATGCAAGTTTTATAGAAAATATCAGTGGGATAAGTTACGTTTGAAGTGCCTGTGGAATGTCTAAGTAGAGAAGTTCAAAAAGGTAGTTGAATCTATGGGTCTAGAATTGAGATGACATCTGGACATGAGATAGAGTCATCATCATAAAGATAGTAATTTATGCAATGAAAACAGATAAAATTGCCCTGGCAGTGTATGTGGAGTGACAAAGGACCAAAGATAGAGCAATGAGGAACACTAATATTTAAGAAATGAACACAGGCAAAGGAACCAGTGAAAGAGACAGGAACAGAATAAACAGGTGGTTTTAGAGGCCAGTGGAGGAGTGTTTCAGGATAAATAAAATGTTGAGTTTATTGCAGCATTGTTTCTAATGGCAAACATATGGAAATAATCTAAATGCCCATTAGTAAATAGTTAAGGTATGTTTATACAACAAACTTGTCTGTCAAGGATTTGCTGTTTTAAAATGTAGAAACTAGGGCAGACATAAGAAAATAGATGCTAAGCTGGTTATAAGATAACCTGGCATTATACCTGCCTAAGTTACATGGTGTGTGTGCACAAGCCTTAGTTTTTGCATCTGGCAGACACTGTTAGTTGGCTAAATCATCACCCATTCTTAGCCCTTTTCTATATGCCTGACTCCTCTATAGAGATTATAAAAGCTAAATTATCTCCCAATGTCTGTTAAAGTTAGGAGTGGCCATATGAGTTCTGACCAAGAAGGTATGGGAAAAAAACTGCCAAAGGAACTTCTGGGAAAGCTTTTCCTTTTCTGATAAAAGCAATTGATTATGTTAGAGTAGTCCTTCCTCCTTTCTCATTTCTTGAATGTGGATATAATGCCTGGAGCTGGGGTATTCATCTGTGACCATGAAGGAATGTCCAAGAGAATTACAGAGCCAATAGCCCTGAAGTTGTTAAGCTGCTGAGTTAGTATCAGCAGCTTCTATCTCTAGACTTCTTGTTACGTGAGAAAAATAAATCTCCATTTAAACTGCTGTAAGTTGGCTTTTCTTGTGGCTGAACTCTTTTCTGCTACATGGGGTATATTTTTATTTAAAAATTTTTAATGTAAATAATTTAAAACTTAAAAAAATTTAAAGCTGTTGCTTGTGTTAGGGATCTCCATATCTCCAAGTAAATTCCAAGTAAATGGTGATACTGCTATTTCTTAATTAACTGTTTTCATCACTATCTGTCTAGTCTTACTTTTTTTTTTTTTTTTTTTTTTTTTTTTTTTTTTTTTGAGGCAGAGTGTCACTCTGTTGCCCAGGCTGGAGTGCAGTGGTGTGATCTTGGCTCACTACCACCTCTACCTTCTAGGTTCAAATTATTCTCCTACCTCAGCCTCTCAGGTAGCTGGGGCTACAGATGTGAACTACCATGCCTGGCTAATTTTTGTATTTTTTGTAGAGGCAGAATTTCACCATGTTGCCCAGGCTGGTCTTGAACTCCTGGGCTCAAGCAATCCGCCCGCCTTGGCCTCCCAAAGTGCTGGGATTACAGGTGTAAGCCACCGCATCCAGCCCTGATTTTCTATTATAATGGATAAAAATTTAATTATCTTACACTTTCCCATCATATTCATTCTTCTGTTTTACTAACATTCTATTAAATAACTATTTTGGGTCAAATAAGCATTTACTGCTTACATTATTATGACTATGTTCTTGTTATTTACAGCTGAGTCAAATGTACTATTTCCTTTCTCATAAAAACATTTTTCTCAAAATTAATTT